TGTACTTAAGTACAACAAGAAAGTACCTGTACTTAGTTACATCCCACCACTGAGGGCTAGTGGAACTAATTTTTAGTTTAGTGCTGCCCTCCACTGCCCACAGTAAGATGTTTTTTGTCGCGTTCTTTTTGGCCTTCCCGGGATCCATACATCACTCATACGTACCGTAAAACGCGAAGTACATGCGCAACGAAATTTTGATCTCGGCTAGTCTCTGTAGGCTCACTTCCGCACGGTTAAACGACGGAGCTCGAAGGTGGGTGTTGAATATCCAAACATTTTTTTAGGAGGATTGGGAAGAGACATAATTTAGCAAACGATACATAGCCGCTGCTCGCCATGTTCTTCTTGTTCTCACCGGGTTGTCACTTGTCTGATTTCGGAAACGAAACGAGTRTCGTCAGACCCAACTACCAATGAGGCTAACACCTCACTCTGTAAGTTAGTCAACAACACGTTAGCTTGCTGCTAGCTGGCGCATCATGGCGGACAGCCTGGGAGAGGAGTTTAGCGGTGATGCCCATGGTTTAGGCGTCACCGGACAAGGACTGCCGACTTTGGCCAACTCCCTGGCCGACGGACACCCAGGAGCCAGCGGTGTTCCGTCCAGCTCCAACCTGGCCTCTCCTCCTCCCGCCTCACCCGCACAGGCTGGCCTAACAGTGGCTCCGCTTTCTGCTGTCACTGCTGCTGTCGGCTTCGGGAACTCGTACACCCCGGACTCCTCGGTACCTGTCGTGCCCGTGCCTCCGGTCGTGCACACGTCTTTGCCTCTGCCCAGTGTTGGGCTCGGGGTGGCAGGCGGAGGCCTCCTATCCCAAATCCACGCCGCCTCCTGGGACCCGACCCTGAGCACAGACTGGGACAACGAGAAGGCTTCCCAGCAGTGCATCCTGAGGATAAAGAGGTAAATTCAGTTTTTACTAAGCTGTAAATCACACTGGATACATCCTGTCTCCATGGTTTTGTGATGTTACTGTTCGGACCAAAGATCTCAGCGATTTGTGTGTGAAGTTTCCTCAAACTTTTTGTTGTCATTTTTCTAAAAATGAAACTAAAAATGTTTCTGGACCTCCACGTAGTGGATTAGAATCACCAAAGCTGAGTTAGTTATCTTTTTTTCTTCCCCCAAATACAAAGGTTGAGCTTCAGAGCTGCATAATAAACAAGAAAAGTTTTATTTTAAACTTTATTTTTCATGAATAAAGTCAACAATAGTAACAAACAAAACAAGGAAGCAATCAGGGCAAAATCTTAGGACTGGTCAGTGAAATTCACCTAGGAGAGAGTTCAGACGTATTCTAGTTTTAGTTTTTAAGTTTTATTATATTTACAGAAGGATCCTCCATTGCTACAGACAGTTCCTTATAAATACCAGGGACTTCGATATAGATATGAGGTTTAGTATTGGCCGATACCAATTTGATATCAAAAAACTGTGCTCAGTTGACTTAAATATTTCTTTCCTATTTTTATTTTCTGATAGATGTAACTGAACTACACATTTATTTGATCACTGTGCATCAGTAGTCCTACAGCATTCTTAAACCAATAGTTTCACAAGCTTAGTGAAGCATGTAAAAATAACACAACTTTACCTCCTTCAGTCAGTGCAATTAGAGGTATAACACCCAATGAAAAATAAAGGAAGTAAAACAGAGAAAAAAACAATAGCTTACCTTAGTTAAACATGTAAAAACAAACAGGAACAAATCCTCTTTCAAATGGTTCAGTCAGTGCAACTACTAACTCAAGATATAATATAAAATACACAAGGCAAAACTCTGTAAATTGTTTTCACATCTTTTAGCTCCTCTGTGCTTGCACATTTTACTGTGCAGTTCCAGTATTGCTGTCTTTGACAAATGTTTTCACCTTATATCTTATTGTGGTTCCAGATGGTAGAGTAATAAAGTTCCAGATGGCTCTTTCGATCGCACCATTTTGAAAACAATGCGCTACGTGTTGCTAGCACATGGCATCGCTCACAGGGTAGAATTAGACTGAATATATCTTCCCCTATGGATCAGGTCTATTGTCACGATACCCGATCGAGAAATTTACATCTTATTGGTGCATCTCTAATAAATACAGGGTCTAAACAAAATGCTTCAATCTGCATTAGTACAGATCTGTTAATTCAACAATTACAACCACAAACACACAGTATATTTGTGTAACTTTTTTTTCATTAGCAATTTTATAGGTTGAAATTTAAATGCATGAAAAAAAAATCAAACTATATCCACAGTATTCTTGATTTTGCGCCACTACCCATAATTCATAGCAGAAGCAGGTTCCATATTTCCGCTTGACTGTTGTTTACAATTACGAGGATACACCATCGCTGTTTATCAAAGCATTTTTCATTGAAATTTGGTGTAGATGGCCACATATCAGAGGTTTATATACTGTAAGGATGTTTTAAAAAGCAACGAGGACAATTCTTTATCAGTGGCTCAGCCGTCACTGCTCACGGTTAGCAATGTTGGCTAATAGCTACTACTGACATCAACTACCTCGTCTTTCCTCGAAGACGCACACACACACAAAATCATAAATGTCAACCGTTCTGGAAGTAAATGTTCATAAGCCCCTCAGAATTTTAATGATTTTATAAAAGTATTGTGAATAGATGTTTTTTCCCCCTTATTCTAAACATAAAATTCACTGGGTGCTAGTTTGTTAGTAACTTTTAGAGATGAACTGGAGGGTTTCATACAGCTGCAGTCATTGTAAATAAATGATAAACAAGAATAAATAAACTGCCTCTAATAACTCTGTTAGTCTATTTTTTATTTAAACAAACCAGACACTTTTATAGCCCCTGGGCGCTGCTAAGCTCGTCTTTTAATCCTGCCATGATGTAAACAAGAGGATTATTTATTATTCTGAACTTATTCAGAACTGAGAGTTAAATTAAGACATTTATATAGTTTTGCCAGTATTCGGCTGCTAATCATAGGCTTAATTTTTTTTAAATTTAAGATTAGCTGCTAACGACATGCTAAACAACCAGGCTAACAGTAGGTAGCGCTGATGCTAACGCCATTCACCGTAGGCTTTCATTCAGTAAAAGCAAAGAACTACAGGATTAAATAGCAACAGGGGACACACAACATTTAGTTTAACTCACCAGGTACAGATTCAGTGTTTCAGTTGCTGGAAGCTGTCTGACTCACAGTGGTTCAGACGAGACGCCTTCAGTAGCCAACCTTAGCTCTGGATCGGAGTGAAAATCTGTGGGATTTTTGTCGATAAAATGAAAAAAAAAGCAAGCAAACTCTCTTTGGTGGGTTTTTCAGATTTAAAGCTGCAGCCATGTTTGTTTACGATCCTCCTTCGTTGGCATAAAGTGCCATTTGTAGGGCGCTGAGCCTTTACTACGTCTTGTTCCAGCCAAAATGTTTCTAAAGCGTTTCTCAGTTTTCTTCAATTGTTGTGGCAGCCGACAAAAACACAAGTTGAACCTGAACTCGTGATTGAACTGCTCAAACCGCCAGTTGAAGCAAAAACAAACTGGATTTGTTATTATCATAACTATCTGAATGAATGAATTTCTTGCACACTGGAAAAACTGAACAGTCAGGAGGGCTGTGGGCGGGGCTAGTGTCTGTCATGGCAGCCTACATGCTCGTTTCCAGAAACTTGTGGTGTCTTAAAAATTTTTGGCTCACACCAACATGACAAAACCTTTTATTTGGTATTAAAGTGTCAAAATGTGTTGAGAGTGTGTGTGTCTCATAGAAAAAAGGAAAGATTTTCAGTGGCTCAGGTACTTCTTTGTAAAACTGTTTTATCTAAAAATTAATCAGCTTCTCTTGTTTTGTAGGGATATCATGTCCATTTACAAGGAACCTCCGCCTGGGATGTTTGTTGTTCCTGATCCTCAAGACATGACCAAGGTATTAAAACAACCACAGTCAATATCTAAAGAGCAACTCTTATTTGGCTTTGATTTGACATAGTGGTTGTTCAGCACACATCTTTTTTTTTTGTTTGTTTCTGGAGTAGTATAACTTTTTGCAGTTTCAAATAAAAATTTCATCTCTTCTGTTCTAGATGCTAGTAACCGGTGTTGTAATCAACAATTTCTAATCCTACTAGTTTA